TACACTCACTGCTTCAGATGTATACACACTAATTGGAAGGCCTCCTATTTTTCGTCTCAGGTCATATATTGTTATTTTCATTTTTTGAAGAGAAAATGTCTAAATATCAAAATTTGTGGCTGATTTTTTTCCTTCATTTTCAAGGTATGGTTGGTTTTCAAACGCCGAGGCAACATTTTTGGTAACATCATTGTCTGTTATACCACGGGGATGTGAAAAAAATATGAACATCATGCAAGAACAAAGTGCAGGGTTACCAGCTTCTTCAACTGATTCCCCTAAAGAGGTGAATGGCTGTGTTAGTGGGAATGCTATGAATGTTTCAATGAGTTCCAATCACCCTGAAGCTGCGGTTTGGGGAAATTCTGAAAATATAGTGACACGTGCAGAAGTGGTATATTTTGTTTTCTTGGTTAAATTTTATGCTGTGAACCAGTATCTTCACATTATCTACTTGACTATTCTTCCCCCCCTTTATTTACCTTTATATAACTCCTTTCAATGCTTCTAAATTCCTTTCTGCTTTGGTTCGCTTTAACTTGTAGCTTACCAAACCTATTACATCATGTGCCGGGGAATGGGCTGACAGCCTTACAAACATAAGTGTTGGAGAACTACTCTCTGAAGCTCCTGATGCTGAGTGTGGCAATTGCATTACTTCCAGTGTACCTACTAGCAGTTCTAACTATGTTCATAATACACCGTTCAGCTGTGACTCCTTTGATGCAGCAATTGCTGCTCACATAAAGAAACATCAAAACATAGCCATTAACCATACTGCCCTTCCATCTGAGTTATCAACAATATGGGGCGCTGAAGATACGTGTGATGCATTTTCGTTTCAGAGACGTTCTCACAGTGAAGAGTGGCAGAAGTCTTCCAAGCCCACTTCTTTAGATACTAGCAAACCGATAAATTTGAGAAATGCTACTGCTGTGTTGGGCACACCACTACAGGTTCAATTTGGCTATTTGTTTCTATATTCACACAGAGTAAAAAAAATAACTAGTCATCCCTCCCCCACCAAAAAAGTTACCATAGTTAAAAAAATTGTACATTTGTCAAATATGGCGCTTGGTTTGGACAGAGGTAGTATTTCATACTGGTCTTTTGTTTTCTTTCTCTCTGCAGGGGGAGTTTGATAATGGGAAAACAGTTGATGCAGCAGCTTGTGCACATCCAGAACGTGTACCTTACACGTCTACTTCAGACGTGGTGAAAGATTTTACTGGATTGGCTGAAGTATCTTGGGTAACATCTTGTTCTTTGACATCTTGTACTCCTGTCCCAAAAAGGCATGCATGTTTAATTTGACTTTTACAGTCTTCAATGCATCACTTGGATGGTTTATAATTATGTAGTGTATTTTTTGCATAAATAAATGTTATAATTATATGTTATTTCAAAAATAATAATAATGATATTTAGTTCACATTATAACTGCATATCCCCCCCCCCACACACACACACAAATTTTAGTCAAAGTTGGCGATTAATTTTTTTACCAAGAAAAGTCATACAATCACATTTTAAGGATGAGGAGTACTTCCTCTGTCCCAAAATAGAAGTCCCGTTTCACCAAGACACAACTTTTGAATTTACGTAAGATACCGCTTTTGGATATCATCAATTGTTGGCCGCGGCTATGTTTATTAATTTATTTGTTGGTTTAGCCATATTTATCATTTTGTCTATTTGAAAAGGCCAAAATAGTACTATATGATTTTTTTTGGACTAACAAAAGAATTTCATGTGAATTTTCTTTAGGAGGGAAGATAGTAAAATGAAATTATAGGACAGGACCCTAATTTTTTAGAGTGCTTTCCAGATTATCTAAAATAAATAAATAAATAATTATATTTAAATTACGTCTAAAATAAACAAAAGTGGAGGGTATAGGTAATGGTATCTCCTGGTAGAAGCAATTACGGAACTTAATTGCATGGTGTGCCACCGACCGACACCTCCATTACGTGAGAGCTAATTAACTAAGTTTGCATGCATGCCACATACTTACATTAATTAAAAAATAAAAAAATAAATTTCTATCATTAAATAAACATATACTTTCCAATAATCTCAAAGGAGTTCCTGTTTTGACTTTTACAAGATTTATTTTTATAAATGGATTTTCTAATTAAATGATTTGCATCAAAAAGAAAAGAAAAAAAATCACTTAAATAACGTATAAATATGTCATTTCTAATTTTATACTTAATCCGTCTCATAAACTCTTCCTCTTTTTTTATTTTGGTGTCTCACAAAGTCTTTTTCTTTCTATTAAAAAATTACTTTTACTCATATTAAATCTTGCCCAACTTATCACATCATACTCTTTTATTAATAATTTACATGTGGCATTCTAATTTACCATCGCATGAAGGATATTTTTGTAAGTCAACACAAAATATTCCTCCTTTAAACTTCCTAAAATCAAAATGAGAACATCTTTATAGAGCGGTAGTGCGGAAGTGTACGACAGAAGTAGATCTTTTGATATAATTTTGAATAAATAAAACATAAAATTTGTTAAACATGATAGAATTTTAGGATTGGGTAGAGAATTGGATTGGGCAATAAGACACTTAGGCTGAACCACATTAAAAGATTGAATCCAATCGATTAGTTAGTTAAACTCAAGAGCTTATATACCGATAACTTTTCTATTCAATGTTCCGATGTGGGATAGACTCTAACACTCCCCCTCAAGTGGACAACCGGGCCATTTTGAATCTAACCGGTTGACCACTTGCAAATAAACTCACATTCCCTTTATTATTATTACTCCCTCCGTCCCAAAAAGATTTACATCTTTCAAAAAAATTGCGTCCCACAATCTCCTACCCATTTCTATTAAAAAACCACTTTTACCCCCTACTTTTTCAAACCCTACCTATCACATCATACCTTTTTCCTAATAATCTACACATCACATCCTACTTTTACCCATCACATCAAGGGTATTTTTGGAAAGTCAACACAAAATTATCCCTCCCTTAATTTCAACTTTAGTCAAAATGAGTAACACTTTATGGGACGGAGGGAGTATTATTTTGAGCGCCAACACCTAAAGAACCACGAGCCGCTGGGTATGGACTTCCAGACGAACAATCGTGTTAAACGGGCCACAGGCCGTTGGGTACATACTTCATACGGACAACTGTGCTAAAGACAAACGGATCGCTAGGAATGAACGTCTAGACGGACACCTTGACAAATGAGGTGGGCCAAAACCTGCTCTGATACCATGATAAAATTTTAGGATTGGGTAGAGAATTGGATTGAGCAATAAGACACTTGGGCTGAACCACATTAAAAGATTGAATCCAATCGATTAGTTAGTTAAACTCAAGAGCTTATATACCGATAACTTTTCTATTCAACGTTCCGATGTGGAATAGACTCTAACAAAACATGTAGGTACATAGGCCATCTGCTCCTAAAAGATTACTATAGTTTGTTTTTTGATCAAACTGTGGCACTTTTTGACCATGAATTAAATATAGTTAAAAATAATTAAATCTTTTAAAAATTTGATACTTCAAAACTATATTTTAAAATAAGCTTAATTTTATTAAATTTACATTATAAATAAACTTTTTTTCCTTAATTCGCAATTAAAGAATGCCACAATTTAACTAAAAAAAAATCAAACTCTAACTATATTTTGGGGATGGAGGGGAAGGAGTTTAAAGAGGGGCAATTTATCTAAATAGGACTAAAACATAATGATTTTTTCAATATGGGACCATATGTTTTTATTTCCCAATGTAGGATCATTGGTCATTATCTATTAGTCATTATTCAACTAAATGTCCAGCATTACTTGGACATTATTTTTCTCACTAGTCATTTTTAAGTCCTATTTAGGGAATACAAAAGTCTAAGTCCTACATTGGAAAATAACTTATGTTTTAATCCTATTTAGTGTAAATTTTACTTTAAAGAGATCAATAAGACGGAAGGGTTACTTTCTTTTTTGGTAGTCACACGTACGCAGTAGTGTTATAAATAGCCCACAAAATGAAGCGTTGAGTCTCAAATATACACAAAGCTATTCTATTTCTATTAGTGCATGCGTTAAAAATATACTATGTATTACATCTTAATCAAATATATATAATTTAATAGTCTTACAAAAATATAATTTAATAAAATCAAATGGAGTTCTTCGTAGACAAAACCATCTTGGTCACCGGCGCCACTGGTTTCCTTGCCAAAGGTTCTTCAATATATTTTATCGATTATGTGCAATATAGTTATTGTTTATTTAATAATTACCCCCTATTTATTTATTTATTTATGTATTTATCTATTTATTATTTATTTATCATTCTACTTTCTTCAAAGAATTATTGTCCCATTTTTTATTTATTTTACTCAAATTGTGACACACTTCTACGACAAATTAAATATAGTTTCAAATAAATCAATGTTACAAAAAAGTTGATGCATTAAAAGTTGGAAGTGCATCTTAAAATAAATTTAGTTAGGTAATATTTATATTTTCTCACATTAAGGGGGTGTATTCAATTACGATTTTAGAAGATTATAATAGATTGTTTAAAATTCATCGATTCTGTAAAATCAATAGATTGTTTTAAGTCTATGCAGAATTAGGTAGATTTTAATGTATTTTATCAGAAAGATTTTAAAAGATTTTCATGAATTCCAATTTCTTTAGAATCTTCAAACCCCAGCGGAACTCTTCTGCATAATGCTCCTACCCTTCGTCTTCTCATCTTCGAAATATGAAGAACAACCCCATTAGAAAGCTATCTTTCTCCAAATCTCACAACACCATAACAAAGTTGTAAAGGAAATAAAAGGAACAAATACACCTGGGAATGAAAATGAACAATGGCCTGGAACAATTCAATAGCTATGAACATCAATGATAATGGGCGAAGTTGCAAAAGAAATAGGCGAAGGTCTAAAAATTGCAGGCACGAAGATGAAATTCCAGATATTAGCCACAATAAATCTGCGAAGTGGTGAGAACGGAAGATGAAACCGACTGGTGAGACAAGAAGATGAAATTCCAGAAATCAGCGCCTCCCATCTCGGCCAAAATTGTCAATTTTTGCAGTGGAAAATTAGAAATCTGGCCTTGTAAGAAGGGATTTTAGATAGGCAAATTTTGGAAAAGAATCCAACGAAGTCCATGGAGTTTTAAAAATCATGGATTATTGAATACTTAGAGATTTTTTAAGAATTTTTAAAATCTATATTGAATACCCCATGATTTTTAAAGATTTGAGAAAATCTACATTGAATACCTCAAAATTTTAAAAGATTTTTGAAAATCCAAATTGAATACCTCCTGATTTTGAAAATCTTAAGAAATCCTATAAACTCTTAATTGAATACACCCCCTAAATATGCGAACTAGCATGGCATTTAATGTCTTCCCTTTATAGTACTCCGTAGTTTAGTAGTTGTAATACTTATGCTTCATCTTCATTATGCATGTGTTTATGTTGACTTTTATACTCCCTTTCTTTTCAAAAACACTTTCTATATCATTTTTACTTTTGCAATAAAATAGTTTTGTTTCTATTAAAAAGTTTTTTTTATTTCTACTAAACTATATACTCCCTCCGTCCCAAAAAGATTTACACGTTTCAAAAAAATTGCGTCTCACAATCCCTTACCCATTTTTATTAAAGGAAAAATTACCCAAAATAATCCCAACTTTACCCGGTCTTTCAAAAATAATCCCACCTTTCACTGTGATGCATAATAATCCCAACTTTACTGAAATTTGCCAGTTTTGGGTCACCGTTAAGTTTCTAACGGAGGGTTAATGGAAATGCCCGTTTTAGGCAACAAAATGAAAGTTGGGATTATTTTTGATGAATTTTTATTTTTTTATTTTTTTTTAAATTTTTCATTTAAATTTTTTAAATTACTTTCTACCTCCATCATCATTTCTTTTTCCTTTTTTAAAGATTAGTCTTAGTTTAAAAAATAAAAATAATAGATGTAAAAAATTACAAATTGAGAAATGTAACTAAAATGATACAAAAATAATAAAATAAATAAGGTAATCAATGGAAACTAACTTGAAATTGGTAAAAGTAAAATAAAAATATACGGGTGGGTTTTAATATTTTACACATTATACAAAGTATTAACATATCACTTCTTATTTTTTTGAAAAAATTATTTACAATAATACCAACTTTACCGGACGGCTTGTTCTTTTAAAAAAAGTAGTACATTAAGACTTTGTATATTGTGTAAAATGTTAAAACCCACCACTCCGTATATATTTATTTTATTTCTTACCAGTTTCTGTTTAATTTCTATTGATTACATTATTTATTTGATTAATTTTGTATGGTTTTAGTTATTTTTCTCATTTTCATTATTTTTTATATCTATTTTTTTTCTAAGGTAAGAATAATCTTTAAAAAAGAAAAAGAAATGGAGGTTGAAAGTAATTCAAAAAATTTAAATAAAAATTTCAAAAAAAATTAACAAACAAAAATTCATCAAAAATAATCCCAACTTTCATTTTGTTGCCTAAAACGGGCATTTCCGTTAACCCTCCGTTAGAAAGTTAACGGCGACCCAAAATTGGCAAATTTCAATAAAATTGGGATTATTATGCATCACAGTGAAAGGTGGGATTATTTTTTAAAGACCGGGTAAAGTTGGGATTATTTTGGGTAATTTTTCCTTTATTAAAAAATCACTTTTACCCCTTAATTTTTCAAACCCTACCTATCACATCATACTTTTTTCCTAATAATCTACTCATCACATCATACTTTTACCCATCACATCAAGGGTATTTTTGGAAAGTCAACACAAAATTATCCCTCTCTTAATTTCTACTTTAGTCAAAACGTACCCATCTTTATGGGACGGAGGGAGTATAACCTATCACATCAAACCTAGGGCAAAACTGAAAAGCCAATCACAAATTAGACGAGTATACTTTCTATTTCTTTCAATAGCCAAATAGAATGATTTTTTCAAACCTAGATAGTACATGCTAGCTTGTCTAATGAAGTCAAGCCCTAATTTGTCTATTTTGATTATTTTTAAATTGAATTTTAAGAATTTTGATTGGATTTAGAAGCCATTGTGGAAGATTGGATTTTTGCATATTTTCTTTTTCCAAAATGATGCAGTGCTGGTAGAGAAAATCCTTAGAACACAACCAGATGTAAAAAAGATCTTCCTCCTTATAAGAGCCAAAGATTCCGCATCTGCCAAACAAAGATTTATCCATCAGGTAATAAAACCCTAATACCGTATACGTACATTTATTACTCTCTACGTCCCAAAACTAAAGTAAAAAATGGAAAACACAGAAATTAAGACAAATTTGATGTAATGTGGTTTAAGCAGGAGTAAAAGATTTTGCAAAAGGTATGGTAGAGTACCGTAATTGATTGAAAAGGACAAAATTGGAGAGTCAATTCTAATAATCCTTCTTTATTTTTGCACAAAGTCAATATATATAGGAAGTATTTATAGAAACGGAGAGAGCAGTTTTGAAATGATATAAAAATTTTATAATTTTATTTATTTAAAATTATACAAGTATTTAATACAGGAAAAAAGTATTGCAGTTTGACGAAAAACATCAAACTAGAACTGAACAATAATCCTATACTAAGTAAAGATTAATTAAGAGTCCGTAGGTAAAATGTTCATCAGGTGGTGGAGAGCGAATTGTTTAGTGTGGTGAAGGAGAAATATGGCGGCGACTTGTTCGCCGCCATGTTGGAAGAGAAGGTGTTTCCGGTGGCCGGCGACGTCTCCTTTGAAGATTTGGGCATTGAAAACAAAGAGGTAAAAGATGAAATGTTGAGAGAGGTTGACATCATCGTCAACTCTGCTGCAACTACCACTTTTAACGAAAGGTAACTCATTCTACATTTTTCTTATTGGCCCTATTATTTTTACACATCATACCTATATATACTCCGTTCTTCGTTTCACAAAACCTTTCATCTTTCATTTTTCTTATTGGCCCTATTATTTTTACACATCATTCCAAAGGCATTTTTAGAAATTCAATACCAAAATACACTCATCCTAAATCCCTTAGAATTCAAAACAAGAAATGTTTTGTGAGACAGAAGGAGAATAAATACAAATATTAATAGTGAAAATACGGAGTATTATATTCGAGACTGTAGAAAATGAAATGAGCAGCTATTTTCTTGATGGACGGAGTATAAGTGCACAAATCCCATTAAACATGGGATGTTTTGATTTTGAAGAGATTTAAGGGGAGTGTATTTTGGTATTGAATTTCCAAAAATGTTCTTTGATTTGATGGGTAAAAGTAGAATTTGATTGGTAGATTATTAGTAAAAAGATATGATGTGATAGGTAGAGTATGAAAAAGTAAGGGGTAAAAGTAACTTTTTAATATAAATAAGAAGTGTTTTTTGGAACGGATGAAAAAATAAATGAGAAAGATTTTCAGGGACGGAGGGAGTATTATTCTTTCCATCCAAAAATTATCTTCACGTTACTGAAGTTATTTATAAATCATTTTATATGAAAAATGATGTAGGTATGATGTTGCCATGAGTATTAACACATTGGGAGCTATGAACGTCCTCAACTTCGCCAAGAATTGTTTTAAAGGGAACATCGCCCTTGTCCATGTATCCACCGGTATATATATAAATACTTACTAATTGTTTTCAATTATTAATATTGATACTCCCTCCGTTTGAAAAAACCCTTCCCATTTGATTTGAGGGCAAAAATAAGGAAGTGTTAAATTATAGTTGATTTCCAATTTTGCCCCTGATGTGATGGGTAAAAGTAAGATGTGATGGGTAGATTATTAGAGAAAAAGTATGATGTGATATGTAGGGTATGAAAAAGTAAGGGTAAAAGTGGTTTTTTAATAGAAAGGGGAAGTGTTTTGTTGGAAGTGGAAAAAATGAAAGAGGAAGTATTTTTGAGAACGGATGGAGTATTATCTATTTATGATTATTATTGTTAATTCTATTTTATTGAGTAATTTGCAGCATATGTTTGTGGCGAGGGGAATGGAATAATACTAGAAAAGCCCCTCATTTTGGGCGAAACGCTAAATGGGACCTCGAAATTAGACATTGATGTGGAGAAAAAAGTGATAGAGGATAAATTAATGGAGCTTCAAACCCAGAATGCTACCGAAAAAGATGTTAAATCTGCCATGAAAGACTTGGGCATTCAAAGGTCCACCCTTTTTCTTTCGTTCTTTTTTCCTTTTTGATACACACTAGGGTAGATCAAGAAAAGAAAATCACTCGAGCTCATAATTTTCTTTCGATTTGACTTTTTACGGTCTATAATAATGTTACACTTTAACGGTTGGTATCTCTATTTGTATATAAATATAGTTTATAAAAATAAGATATTTCGAAACTCTGTTTCAAAATGAATAAATTAATGCATTTTTTCTGTAACTTATGATTAAATTTTTATCACAACTAAAATGAAAAATTTGCTCCATATTGGACTAAAAGATGCTCCATCCGTCCCACAAAACTCTTCTCTTTTAATTTCATTTTTCATCCATCCCAAAAAAATCATTTTCTTTTCTATTAAAAAGTCACTTTTACCCCTATTAATTCTTAACTTATATATCACATCACACTTCTTCTCTATTAAATCACATCATACTTTATCCATTACATCAAAAGGCATTTTTGTCAACACCAAAATACATTCCCCGTAATTCCTTTGAAAGTTAAAATGGGAAGTTTTTTTCGTGGGACGGAGGGAGTAGTACATTTCCTTGAATAGGACCAAATATGTTTTATTCCCTTTATGACATATAATTTCATATGATTTGCCATGTATGCCCTTATTAACAAGAAGTATTAGATAATGACTGATTATATGAATGACTCTACGAATATGGTTATTAGAAACAAGTATTGGATAATGAATGATTTTTTCAATGACTATTCAAGTTATTTTTAAGAATGTCTTATTCTACTTGAGTTGTGTAATAGGTCATTTGTTTTAAAGGCAAGACATTTTAGAACCTTTCATTGTCAAACGTTAAAATAAATAGGACTAGTCCTATTTAGAGAAAAAAGTGATATGTTTAAGTCTCATTTGTGTAAAGAGGAATTTACTTAAATAGCACTAAAACATAATGATTTTCCCTAAATAACATCACATGTATTTTTTTCCAATGTAGCACTTTTAGTCATTATGTATTAGTCATTATTCAAGTAAATATTCGCCATCACTGGACATTATGGATATTATTAAGTGCTATTTAGGAAATAAAACAGTTTATGTACTATTTAGGGAAATGACTTAAGTTTTAGTTCTATTTAATGCAAATATTTCTTGTGTAAATTATCCACCAACTAAATGGATTTTTTTCTGTAACTTATGATTAAAGTTTAAGACGGAGTAAGAATAATGATAAAATATGTTTATGTAGGGCAAAGGTGCATGGATGGCCAAACACATATTCATTCACAAAGGCAATGGGAGAAATGTTGTTATTTGGGTTGAAAGAGAATGTTTGCGTCATTATATTACGTCCAACTGTAATCACAAGTACTTACAAAGAACCTTTTCCTGGTTGGATTGAAGGTGCTAGGTAATTTATTTATTTAATTAATTATATGTATACGTACTATACGGATCTGATGATAATTAAGTACGTACTATACGTAGTTAATTAATACGGAGTACTTCGTATATATACTTGCATGCATGCACATAATTATATTGCCTCACTTGCTTTTAGCAATATAAACTAATGAAACGAAATTATAATTTTTGCAGAACCATAGATATCTTTGTGCTGATGTATGGTAAGGGAAAATCAAATTTCATGCTCGGCGATCCAAACACAATACTCGATGCGGTAATTAATCACTACTACTACTTCTGTCCCAGAATTAAAGTTTATTTTATATTATTCCTTCCTTCACCAAATAAAATTCCCTTTTTAACTTTTTGAGAATTTAAGGGAGGGATATTTTTGTGTTGACTTTCCAAAAATATTCTTGATGTGATGTGTAAGAGTAAGATGTAATATGTTGATTATTAGTAAAAAAAGTATGATATGATAAGTAGTGTATGAAAAAGTAAGGGATAAAAGTGGTTTTTTAATAGATAAAGGAAGTTCTTTTGGAGACAAAGAAAAAACGAAAGGAGAAGTTCTTTCGAAGACGGAGGGAGTATTACTTTAAATAAATGTTACTCAGCTCGTACAAAAATGCATGTGATATGTATCAAAAATAAAAGTTGGAATAAATTCAGTTATATTATTTTTATATTATGACTAAATAAACTTTTGTCACAAGTTGTGGTCGGTCAAAAAGTGTCAAAAATTTGATTTAAAAAGTGACATTAATTCTGACCATAAGCTTCAACATTATATTTGCACTTTACTATTAGTTATAAAGATCATCAAATAATTAAATACTCTTTACATCCCAAACATCATTCAATCATTAATATCTCTATTTAAATTTGCATTACAATTCTATGTAATTATCTCATATTCTCTTCATCCCACAAACTTATTCTCCTTTCTTTTTTTTAAATATTTGCACTAAGTAGCATTAAAACTTAATTTATTTCTCAATGTAGGGCTTAAACTTTTTTATTCCCTAAATAGTACTCCCTCCGTCTCAAAAAGATTTACACCTTTCAAAAAAATTGCGTCCCACAATCTCCTACACATTTCTATTAAAAAACCACTTTTACCTCTTACTTTTTCAAACCCTACCTATCACATCATACCTTTTTTCTAATAATCTACACATCACATCCTACTTTTACCCATCACATCAAGGGTATTTTTGGAAAGTCAACACAAAATTATCTCTCCCTTAATTTCAACTTTAGTCAAAATGTGTAAATCTCTTTGGGACGGAGGTAGTACTTAATAATGTCTAGAATGAGGAATAATGTCCACTGACGGTGAACATTTACTTAAATTATGACTAATAGATAATGACTAGAAGTGCTACATTAGAAAATTAAAACATATGATGCTATTTAGAGAAAGTCATTATGTTTTAGTGCTATTTAGGTAAATTCATCTTCTTTTGTTTTTTCTTGTCCCACAAAATCGTTCCATTTTCTATTAAAAAATCACTTTTATCCATACTAATTCTTAACCTACCTAGCACATCATACCTTTTTGTTAATAATCTATCAATCACATCCTACTTTTGCTTATTACATCAAAGATATTTTTGGAAAGTCAACACAAAATTATCTCTCCCTTAAATTTCTTAAACGTCAAAATAGGAACATTTTTATAGGACAGAGGAAGTAATAAATTAGGTATTTTTGGAACGGAAGGAGTAATATCAAATGTGCTATGTATGCAGATTCCAGTTGATATGGTGGTGAACTCAATGCTGGCATCAATTATTGTGCATCATCATCATCATCATCTTCATGAGCATAGCGAGTGCTGGTCGTCGTCATGTTCACCGATATATCACGTTGGCTCTTCTTCGTCTTCTTCTTCTTCTGGCAACAACAATGGCAAACCTTTGAGGCTCTTTGATGTTATGAACATGTTGTTCCGTTACTTCACTGAAACGCCGTGGATTTCAAAGAGTGGAGACCTTGTTAGGGTTCGCCAATATGTGTTGCTTCCAAGCATGACCAGTTTACGCCGTTACATCGCACTCCGTTATCTCCCCCTTTTGCAGGCAAGCACTGCACAGTGCACACACCCCCTTTTATTTACTTCCTCCCTCACACAAATTTTTATCCCATCGTCCAAAAAAATATTTCTCATTTTCTCAAAAAATCATTTTTATCCTAATGAATTTTTAACTCACATTTTTTCATCATTAATCAGCCCATCACATCCTGCTTTTATTCATCACATCTAATGATATTTTTGAAAAATCAACACCAAAGTATACGTTCTTAAATCTTTTAAAAGTCAAGACGGGAAAGATTTTGTGCATGTAGATTTATGGCCCCCTACAATCTTTCAACCAAAAATAATAATGTAAATTAATACGGAGTAATTTGTTGGTGCATGTTAATTAATTTTGGAGGAGTGAATTGTTGGCCTGGGGTGCAGGTGTTGAAGGTGATGAACATGATATTGTACCATTACTTTGAAGAAAGGTGCAGGTCAGTTGAAAAGAGCATCAACATGGTCATCCGATTTGCTGAAATTTACAAGCCTTACGTCTTCTTCTACGGCATGTACGTTACTACTCCCCATTCTATTACACTTTCCTTCCGTTAACTAAAATCATTCCTATTTCAATATTTTGACTTTATGCCAAAATAAGGAGTGTTTACTTTTGATTGACTTTCTCAAGTTACTCTTCATATAATGGATAAAAATATGATATGACCAATAGATTATTAGTGAAAAAATATGATCTGAGAGGTAGTGTACGAATTAGTACGAGTAAAAGTGAGTTTTTAATAAAAAATAAAAAAATTTGGTGAAAGAGAAAAAAATGAAAGATCAAGTGTTTTTGTTGGGAACTTCTCCCACATCGGAAAAGAAACAAGAAAGTGCCCAACATATAAGTTCAATGGTCTCTATTCCGATCCTATCGCCAATTGATTTTAGGATAGAAATCTCATAAACTTGTGTGATAGGCCTATCGCGCTGTTAGAATATACTCCCTCCGTTCTCAAAAACACTTCCTCTATCATTTTTTCCACTTCCAACAAAACACTTCCCATTTCTATTAAAAACCCACTTTTACCCTTACTTTTTCATATCCTACCTATCACATCATACTTTTTCTCTAATAATCTATCCATCACATCTTACTTTTACCCATCACATCAGGGGCAAAATTGGAAATCAACTATAATTTAACACTTCCTTATTTTTGCTCCAAATCAGAATGGGAAGTCTTTTTGCAAACGGAGGGAGTAAATAACTATTCCTGGGTCACAACCAAAAGCTTGAGCTTTTGGTTGAGTTGGTTCCTTGACATGGTATCAGAGCCTTGATGACCAAGAGGTCACGAGTTCGAAACTCACCGCCACCCAGTTTAAAAAAAATTAAGGTTTCACGTGCAAGGCTCAAAGAAGTCACGCCTGCACGTGAGGGAGCGTGTTAGAGTACATAAATATAAATAACTGTTCCTGGGCCACAACCACAAGCTTGAACTTTTGGTTGAATTGGTTCCTTGATATGGTATCAGAGCCTCGTTAACTAAGAGGTCACGGGTTCGAAACTCAGCGCCACCCAGTTTAAACTTGTGTGATAGGCTCACTTGACTTTTATCGGTTTTAGTTGACGGTTTATTATACATTAGTTATAGATTTCCCCCTTGTACAATTTTTGCATGACGAAGTAAAACCGTACGTGTTTGAATGGGTGCAGTTTTGACGACACAAATACAAAGGGGCTGAGAATGGAAATTAGAAAGAGGAGCGGCGGAGATGATGACACACTTTTCTTCGATCCAAATTGTATCGATTGGGAAGACTACTTCATCAACACCCATTTTCCTGGAGTTGTCAAATATGCCTTTTAAATTTTCATTTTAACTCTATTTACTCCCTACTTATTTACTGTAATTATTAATATTAAGCAAACAAGAAGGATAAAAATATGATGGATCCATACTATACTGCTGCTTTTTTTTACTATTATTATTATTATACCACTAATAATAAAGATATACAGAGTGTAATGGATCGTGTACTGCATTCAATACAAGTACGTAGTACTACGTATTTATGAGTATTTTGACTTGATTAATTTGTGATTTAATTTGTATAGTAACTTATTTACTTGATATCCTCATAATTTATTGTTCATGTTCCATACACATATATGACATGGCCGTAATTATAAAAGTGTATTTTACAGAGGAAGTATTATATATCTAAATTTAATTTACTTCTACTTTCGCAAAAAAAAAATATAATGAATGTCTCATTAATTATACTCGTACTTTTTCTCTACAGTATTCATTTTATTTCATCACATCAAGGGTAACACATTAAAAATATTTACACTTTTCAATTTTTTATTAATATCCATGTCAAGTCAGACCGGAAAAGAAATTTTTAGACGGAGAGAATATCAATTACTCCCTCCGTTTCTTAAAACGGTTCTTGTTTTGACTTTGAGGCAAAATAAGGAAAGTATAATTTTAGTTGATTTTCCAATTTTGCCCCTGATATGATGGGTAAAAGTAAAATGTGATAATTTAGTTATTAGTGAAAAAGTATGATGTGATAGGTAGGGTATGAAAAAGTAGGGATAAAAGTGGTTTTTTAATAGAAAAAGGAAGTGTTTTAAGGAAAAGAAAAAAATGAAAGAGGAAGGCGGGTTCTAAGAAACGGAGGGAGTATGTTAATTTTAAGATGTGTAAGTTTAGTATAAATGGCCCTTTAATTTTTTCTTAGGTGCTTATTTTGTATTGGAGTTTAATTAGTTTAATTAAAACTCCATCCGTCCCTAAAAAAATTTCACATTTCTTTTTTCATTTGTCTAAAAAAAATTCTCATTTCTATCAAAAAGTCATTTTTACCCCTACTAATTTTTAACCTACCTATCACATCACATATATTCACTATTAATCTACTCATCAAATCATATTTTTTACTTATCACATTGAAGGAAATTTTTGAAAACTCAACACCAAAATGTAATTTTCTTAAATCCCTTAACAATCAAAATATCCCTTTTTCACAGACGGAGGGAGTATAATGTTTATATATGTTGAGCAGACCTGATTATTGGCAACAATTTATTGAATCTATTAGGAAGTATAATTAAATTAGGATACTTCTTTCCTTTCCTACTAGGATTATTCTTTCCTTTCCTGGAGCTCACTCTCAGCACACAAAAGAAAATATCATCAGTCATGGAGCATCTCAACCGCAAATGGGGGAATTGTAGCATGACACGTGGAGATTTATTGCTCTTCCCTTACCATTTGCAAAAAGAAAACTTGGTGCATTNTTTCCTACTAGGATTATTCTTTCCTTTCCTACTTGTACTTTGATTACTCTTGTATTCCCTATATATAGGGCCATATCTCTCAATATTCAATAAGACAAGTTATTATCAAATTGTATCATGGTATCAGAGCTAAGGCTCTCAAAAACCTAGCCTCTCTTTTTTTCCGACCGCCGCCCATCATGGCAGCCCCGTCGGATCCTTTGGCGTCCTTACCCTCCGGAGTAAAACTTTTGCTTCGGAGTCTCCACAACTTAATCCCAGAAAAACTCACCGAAACAAATTATCCGGCATGGTCTCTCAATGTCCAGACAGCTCTTTCAGCTAATCTCCTCCTTGGATGGATTGATGGTCATGAAGCAGCCCCGTCGCCAACTATCTCCAAAAACGATAAAACCGTCCCTAATCCAGAGTATACCTCCTGGACCATCGTTGACACAATACCTTGATGATGTGGCAACTATTCTCTTGGATCTCGATGCCTTGAAAGAAGAGATCCCTGAACGTGATGTGGTGAATGCTGTTATTCGTGGTCTTCCCACCGAATACTCATCCTTTAAGCAAAACATTCGCATGAACAATACCAACATTTCGTTAAATCAGCTTTCTGGATGGCTGATCTCCGAAGAAATAAACCTGGAGATGGAGAATAAACTCAGCCTCACCGAGTCTACCATCACCGAACCTCGCACAGCACTTCTCGCTACAAATGGTCGAGGTCGCGGTAGAGGAGGCTACTGCGGTCGACCGTCACCTGGACGTGGATACAACAGCGGACGTGGAGAAAGGAACAACGGTCGACCGTCCCAGGGAAACGGTCGACCGTCACGGGATCTGCCAACCTGCCAAATCTGCGAGAACGAGGTCACTCTGCGTCTGCGTGCTGGTATCGATTTGATGATTCTTATACTGCGAACTCCTCCTCCAGTGCTCCCCGTGCAATGCATGCATCTACGAGTAATCATTCTGCAAACTGGTATTTGGACACTGGTGCCAACACCCATGTCACGTCTGATTATTCTCAGCTACAATCTCCTCATCAATACACCGGTACTGATGCTATTACCGTAGGCAATGGTCAATCCCTACCCATCACACACTCTGGCTCAGGTTGTGTCCATACTCCTAATGGTAAATACCACCTTTCTACTTCATTATGTCCCTTCCCTTACCTCCAATCTATTGTCTGTCCATCGATTTACCAAAGATAACAACTGCACCCTTGTTTTCTATGCCAATGATTTCCAGATAGTGGACAATCCTACTAACCAGGTGCGGTACAAGGGCCTCTGTGAGCATGGGTTATACACACTTCCTTCCAAACTCCCAACCGTTGCGTATCAAGCTATCCAAGAGTCCACTTGGCATCGTAGACTCGGTTATCCCGCTCCTGCGATTGCCAAATCTATTTTGTCTCCCTTAGGTTTTCAGTTTTCAGAGCCTTTACATTTTGAATCATGTTATGTCTCTAAGTCCTGTCGTTTACCTTTTGAATTGTCTGAACATAAGGCCACAGCGCCCTTTCAATTAATACATTCTGATGTTTGGGGTCCCACCTCTGTTCCTTCCTGTAGCGGTTTTCGATTTTATATCTCTTTTGTTGATGATTTCAGCAAATTTACCTGGATTTATCCCCTAAAACATAAATCTGAAGCTTACTCTGTTTTTGTGAATTTTGAAAAAATGATTAAAACTCAGTTTAATTCTCACATCAAAATTTTTCGAAGTGATAATGGCAAAGAATTTGTAAATAACGCTTTTGGCCTTTTCCTTCAAACTTTAGGACTCCTTCATCACACCTCTTGTCCCTACACTCCTGAGCAAAATGGGGTCGCTGAATGGAAACACCGTCATCTCATTGAAACGGTTGTTTCTCTTCCATACGACTCTGCTCTCCCGACTACCTTTTGGGTCGAAGCTCTTGCCACAGCAAACTATCTTATCAACCG